ACCTGGCCCTCCCGACCCTGTGGTCCTCACCGACCCCGTGGTCCTCACCACACGTCTTCTGCAGCTCCTCCTCCAGGCAGCCCACCTCCTCCTGGATGTGGTCCTCCAGGCGCCTCTTGCCCAGGCCCAGGTCCCGGAGAGTGGTCAGGGCAAACCTCCTCAGGGTTCGCCAGCGCTTGCCCTGGCTAAAGGCAATGCCTGCGGGAAGGCCAGGCTCAGCAGGCCAGTGGGATGTTCCCACCGGGCTGCCCAAGGGGTGAGCGCTCCCTGACTCCCTGGATCCACAGTACAGGGAAGGGGAGGGAGACAGGCACATCCTGAGCTGGGAGAGGGTCCTGGACACGTGCGTGGCGTCAGCACGGAGAGGGGCCTTCGGTCAGCAGCGCTCAGCAGGGGCCAGGCCCTGAGCATCCGATGGACCAGGACTGTGTCCTGGGGGCAGCGGGGCACATTTTCCGTACCCAGTCCAGGTCTTTCTAATGCAGCTTCTTTCGAGTTTTTCAAGGTCATTCTAGTCAATTCTTCACATATATGTGCCATTTGTCCCGCCTGCATTGCTCTAGTAACTCTTAGAGTGGACACGTGGTGTGTTGCCAGATGCTGCTTGGGAATCCAAACTGCTCCCTGCTCCCCGCTCCAGTCTTTTCTCGGCCATCAGCTCACACCCTCTGCACGGGGGTGGGGGGTGGGGCGGAAGGTCCAGATGTCCAGACTCAACTGAGAGGGCAGCAGTCACCCCTTCTCAGGCCCACCCTCTCGACCTGCGTCTCCACCTGGAGGCTGTATCTCAGGCTGACGTGTCCCCCCACCTACTCCTGCCTCACCCCTCCCATCCCCCAGGTGCTAGCCAGAGACCACCCCTACCCCACAGCGGTGACTCTGCAGACTCGGCCTGCGGTCAGCTCAAAGCCAAGTGTATTGGCGTTTGTGATGCCCTTCTACCCCATCCAGAGGTCTCCATGCCCCTATCACCATCATCCCTGACTTCACAGGTAGCGGACCTTGTGGGTGTCCTGAGGGTTTTTATAAGAGGGAGGCAGGGCCCTCCGTGGTGGCACAATGGGTTAAAGTGAAGGACTATGAAGCTGTCTGCAGCCACTGCAGCATGAGTTCCACCCCCGGCCCCAGCGCTGACCCAAATGGCATTGTCAGACCTCTCCTGACCCGCCTGCTGCTCCCCTCAGCAGTGTAGCTCAGTGTATCTGCCTGTTCTGCTCCCTGCTCTGTCTCTGGTGAATCCTCTCACCCCCATGCCTCTGGCCTGTACCCCAGTTCTTGTGTGCATAAATAATCTTTAAAAAAACATGAGGGAGACTGAAAGATTGAGGTAGGAAAGGTTTTCCCAAAAATTTCTTTTAAAGGTCTGCTGGGCCTGTGGATCACCTCCGGGGCCGGGGAAGGAACCCAGGGAGCAGTGGCTGCCACAGCTTGATAGCGCTGCACTTTAAGCCCTGTGCCACCAGGGAGGCCCCAGAGAGATGTAAGGACAGAGCAGAGGGGAGAGAAGACACTGTGTTCCGGGCTTTGACGGAGGCTGAAAATGCAGGGAGAGGCCGCCCCTGGAAGCTGAAAATGCCAGGGAACCAACCGGCCTACTCCAAAAGAAACGTGCCCTGGAGCCACCTCGAGACTCTGCCCTCCACAGCTGCAAGATAACGAGTGAAGATTGTAAGCCAGAGTCTGGAAAGCTCTGCGCAGCGGACAAAGGTCTGCACAGGTTCACCAGGCTGCAGTAACACAGCACCGCCAATGGAGAGACTCAGTGACAAGGTAGGTCTCTCAGTCAGGTCTCTCAGTCAGGTCTCTCAGTCTTCGTCTCCTCCCAGTGGCACATCTTGGAGGGACCAGAGGGGCCTTTCCCTAGCTCCCGTAGTGCTGAGCGTCGCGGCGCTCCTTGGTGCTCATTCCCTGTGCTCTGCCCGTCTCCATCCTCGCAGGGTATCTCCCCAATGGGCATGTCTGTGTTCAGGTCTCCCCCCATAAGACACCGGCCACATTGGTTGGTGCCCTGGAGAGACCTCGTTTAACTTGGTTGCAGGGACGCCATTTCCAAAGAGTCATGTTCTGAGGCACTGGGAGGTTAGGACCTTGGCCTCCCGGGTGACGTTAAAACGAGGGACACACGCGTTCACTCCGTGGGCCCAGAGAGTCGCCAAGCGGGTGAGGGCCTCCCTGCGCACGATGGAGATTGATGCACCTTAAAAATTCGTATTTCCTGGCCCTCCCTGGTGGCGCAGCGGGTTAAAGTGCAGCACTGTGAAGCTATTGCAGCCACGCAGCACGAGTTCAGTCCCAGCCAGGGAGTGACCCACATGGCGTGGCAGACCTGTCCTGACCCACCCGCTGCTCCCCTCAGCAAATGTGTTTCAGTCCATCTGTCTCTTCTACTCCCCACTCTGTCTCTAGTGAATCCTCTCACCTCTGGCCTGTCCACAGCAGACACTAAGTCAGTCAAACATCGAAACTCCCAGTCAGTCATATGTCGACAGAGCGACAGAGCGTAGCTGTGGTTAATAGGCCAGAACCAGAAACCCTGTTACCGCCACACCACTGGGGAGCTCAGGGCTCCTGTGTCTCCAGAGTCTGTTTCAGGCTTTTCCCAGAAAATTGCCGGGGTGCAGATCCCGGCAGCAATAGCTCAGTAGCCCCAGGCCTCAGGGGGACCTACACAGGGAGCCTTTTTTCTCAGGGAAGACTCCCCCAGGTATCTTCTCTTGCTCTTTAGTTTTTTAGTGTCACTCCTCCCCACCCCCCATCTCGAGTGCTCATTGCATCTTGATGGACACGCAGGGCCCACTGGCCTGGCTGGGAACAGCCGGACCTCAGCGTCTGGCCTTGAAGCAGCAGAGGTGGTGCACCTTGCTGAGACCCCAGGCCCGGGCCCCCCGTATCCCGCCCAGCCTCACCATAGCCTTTGTTGGTCTTCTCGGAAATGGCCATCTCTGCGCGCCCCCCGAAGGCGTCCGCCTGCTCCACCAGGGCCTCGCGCACCGCCTCATAGCCGCACAGCACCACCACAGGGGTCGGGCCCAGGCGCAGTGTGAACACGGGCCCGAACCGGGTCCTCAGCTGCAGCAACAGGGAGGGGGGCGTGGTGTGAGCCCGAGGCTGTGCGGGGGTGTGGGGTGGAGTCAGGTGGGGGCCCCGAGGCTGGGGGGGGAGTGGATCCCCCCTCCCCCCATACTGGTGTGAGCCTCGAGGCTGCATGGGTCTGCACGGGTCTGTGACTCCAGGCGGGTGGGGCCCTGGCTGCCTGTGGTGTGGCCCTTCCTCTGGATCTCTGGGCCGGCTCAGAGTCTACTGCTCAGTGTCTCTGCGCCTGCGCGCCCCAGCCCCTCTCTCACGTGGCTGCTCCCTCCCGGGGCCCTGTCTGTGGGTCTCGGCCTCAGGTCAAGGCTGTGTTTCTGTGCGTTTCCTTCGCTGTGACTCTTCTGGCTCCCGTTCCGTCTCACGCCCATGCTTTCCCCTTCTGTCTCTCCTCCAAGAGACTCTGTTCCGTGTAACCCCCCTCATCCTTGCTCCTTGTCTCACTAGTTCCCTCTCCCCCTTTCCTTCTCTGTCACTTGCTGTCTCCTTACCTCTGGGGTTCCCCAGGTTTCTGCCTCTGAGCATTTCCTGACAGAAAGTTCCCCCACCCCTTGCCTCTCCCTAGCCTCCCCTCCCTCTGACCCACCACAACGATGTGTCCAGGCCCAGGGCCCTGGCTGCAGAGGAGGCGGGATTCCCTTTTCCACCCACCGCTTACCCGCAGGAGAGTCTGCAGAAAGGGGCCCCCCCTCAGCTGCAGGAGGTTTCCCAGCACCGGGAGGTGGGGTGGCCCTGGGGGCAGGCCAGCGTGGGTGGACGGAGCCCTGCTCCAAAGGGTGAGGCCCACAATGAGCAGAAGGAGGAAGAAAGGGAGCAGAGCCACTGGCAGGGCCATGGGGCCCGGGAGCTGACAGCCGCTCCGCTGGACCAGGAAAAGCAGGAAGAGGAAATAGTCCATGCGTCTCCCACAAGTCTAGGGAGGAGGCAGGGCGAGCCCAGGAGTCTACCTTTGATCTCCCACACTGCAGGTCCCTCAGCCTGGCCCTTAGCCTGGCCCCGGGGGCTGCCACCCACTCTCCAGCTCCTCAGTGCTCACCTCCATCCTTTTGGTCCATCCGGGTGTTGGTTCATTTCTCCACGAGCCCATGTCTGTCTGTCTGTCTGGGCTTGGGTGCCGGTCTTGCCATCTGCACCTCTCTGCCGTGCCTTCTTTGTCAGCCTCAGGGGTCACGGCTCCCATCTCTGTGTCTCCTGCCCTGATAATAAAGTTCGTCCCACTGAGTGGGGGCACTGGCCTGCTCACGCTCAGCCCCAGCTCCGGGCACCATGGACGCCGCAGGTGGGAAAACCACCAGGACTCGATGTCTGGGTAGCGTGTCGCTGCCGTGGGTCTGTGTCTGCTTCATGACCACTGCTCTCCCACTCGAATGTTCGCTCCATGAGGGCCAGGCTATTATCTGTTTTGCCCTCTGCTGAATCCTTGACCTGTATAGGGCTGGCATACAGGAAGCGCCTACTGTTTGGTGAATGGATGGATGAATGATTGCTGGGTCCTGGGCTGTCTCACCATCAGCTTATCTTGGGTTTCTTGCTGTCTTAGCCACATCATAAATCTCCCTCCCTCAGCCTTTGGGATTCTTCCTGTGGCCACTATGCATTTACTGGTCACTCACTATGTGTTAAGCCCTCACATCTGTGTCTCGTTTCCAACCTCACAACGCTCCTCTAGGCTAGGAGGGACTCACCTGTTCCAGATAAGGAAGCCTGAGGCTCAGCGAAGCACACACTTGCTCATGGGTCTTTGTGTGACAAATAAATGAGGAAACTAAAGTTGAAAGCTGAATTTGTCTTTCTCTAAAAATCAGTGCTTTATTCTAACACATGAGCTCATCCCTGATTGTGTCCCCCATAGCCATAGGCTGGAGATGGTGATGGGACCTCAAAAAAACAAAAACAAAACAAAAAAACCCCACAAAAGCCAGGCTGGGGAGCTGCTCTCAACTTCCCTCTCGTCTTGGTGAGTTATTGAGAAGGCATGTTATTATTTTAAATGCCCAAAGCCCTACAGGAAAAAAAAGTAGTCTCGCTCTTGTTTACTTGTCCATTCCTACATGATAGAATATTACTCAGCAATAAAAAAGATGAGCTTATGACATCTGTGGCAACATGGATCGAGTGGAAGGGATTATAAGGCAGAAGAAGAAAGGTATATGCAGAACACAGAGAAACTGAACAGTCAAGAAATAGACAAAACTGGCCAGGTGATCATAGATCTGAGGTGGGGGGGAGGGAGGTCAAAACAGGGGAGGGGAGAACACAAGGGAACGTGGTGCTATGTGGCAGGAAAACGATGGGGAGAAACCGATTACTGTTCAGAAATGGACAATGATGTAAGGAAATAATAATAAAAAGAAAACCCTTTCCCCTGAACTTATTATCCTTCTCTTCCATTCATATTCTTTCCTTTTCTTTCCTCCTTCTGCTAAGTGCTCTTTCTGTCTGTGTCTCTGAATCTCTGACAGCAGAACAAGTGGTTGAAATAGGCTCTGGACTAGACTGTTTAGATTTGACATCTGATTCTATCTCTAGTCTGCTGTGTGACCTTGGGCCAGGTCTTGACCTCTCTGGGCTTCATCTTTTTCACCTACAAAATGGTAATGATGACAACACCAACTTCAGAGGGTGGTGGGTGAGGGAATTCCTCTGTGTGGAGCACTTCACACCTACTATTCTGTGTTTCCTAGAGCTGGGAGGAGGATCTGAAGTCAATGCCAGGTCACACAGCACAGTGGGGCCTGGGGCAGTGGTCAGGAGTACCCATAGTGACACAGCATCAAGTCCAGAAAAGTACAGGTTCCAACCCTGAATTCAAGAGGCCAGGACTATTAGTCCCCCTCTCCTGGGTCTGAGCAGTTCAGGGCGAGGCCGGGCCCTGTAGCTTTGCTTTTCAGACCCAGGTAAAGCATTGCTCTTGCCTCACTAGCTTCATGTGGGGGTGACTCAGCAGCCCCCACTTCCTAGCTCAGGCTCTTTAGGGGTAGAGTGTGGTTTGTTTCATTTTATAATCAAAATGTTGATCTGCTATTTTTTTAAAGACATTTATGTATGTATACAAGAGCTGAGGTGCTGGCTAGAGGTGAGTGGGGGTAGTGAGGGGACTCACCAGAGACAGAGTGGGGAGCAGAACAGGTGGAGCGACTGAAACACACTGCTGAGGGGAGCAGCGAGCAGAGCAAGACGGGAGAGGTCTGTTGAGCCATGTGGGTCAGCTCCTTGGCGGGGGATCGAACTCAGGCTACAGTGGCTATAATTTGATGGTGCTGACTTAACCCCTCGCGCCACCACGGAGGCACCTGATTTTCTACTTTAAAGAAGAGAGAAAGAGAGCGGCTGCAAGCCAGATCACATGGACATATTCTTTCACACACAGGACCATTACTTCCTGATCCATTGCACTGCCTAAATTGAGGAGACAGACTGGTGAATCTGGAGTCCAAGGCAGCTAAATTCATGGAGAGTCCAGCTAGGAGCTGCACAAAGAGGGGTGTTCTGGAGATCTAGGCAGGGTCCCCTGAGAACAATCAGTTGAGCACTGATCAGTGTGTGTGTGCACAGAAACTTCCAGAGGTTATGGGGAGAGCAATCTGAAAGCAGAAGCATTAATAGTTGCTCATGGAGAGTCAGAAGAGTACCTGCCTGCATGACAGAGTGGAAAAGTTCATGACTCGGGGGCATCAGGACTCAGGAAAGTCTTGCCTTGGTTTGTGGACTAATCAGTCCACCACTGAGTATGTGCTAGAAGTCACCGAACAAATCTTAAAATCAAGATGAAATAGGTCCCAGGTTTGTTTTGTGTTCCAAAACAAAGCTCAAGGATGTTTGTAGGAAAACAAATATCCAGTACTAACAAACGAAAATTCACCAACAACTTATAATGCATGGAAAGTAGATAAATGGTTTATAATGAGGAAAAATTCAATCAAGATGGACAAAGGTGTTAAAATTAATGGATAAGTATATTACACAGCTGTTATTTTTGTATTTTATGTGCTTAAAAAGTTAAGTGGAGGGCCCTCCCTGGTGGCGCAGCGGTTAAAGCACAGCACTGAGAATCTAAAGCTGCTTCCGCATGAGTTCGATCCCCGCCTACCCCGGAGGTGACCACATGGTGCGGCAGACCTCTCCCAATCCGCCCACTGCTCCCCTCAGCAGTGTACTTCGTCGATCTGCCTGTTCTGCTCCCCACTCTGTCTCTGGTGAAGCCTCTCACCACCCCTGAGCCTCTGGCCTGTACCCCAGTTCTGTATGCACAAATAAATAAACCTTAAAAAAAAAAAAAAGTTAAGTGGAGAGGTGGAAGATAAGGTAAAGACCCAAGTTAAAATTTTAGAGATTAGGGGCCCTCCCTGGTGGCGCAGCTGGTTAAAGAACACCACTAAAAAGCTAAAGCCACTTTAGCATGAGTTCGATCCCTACCTGCCCCGGAGGAGACCCACCTGGTGCAGCAGACCTCTCCTGACCCGCCCGCTGCTCCCCTCAGCAGTGTAGCTCATCAGTTGGTCTGTTCAGCTCCCCACCCTGTCTCTGATGAATCCTCTCACCGCTCCTGCTCCTCTGGCCTGTACCCAGTTCTGTATGCATAAATAAATACATCTTAAAAAAATAGTATTTTAGAGATTAAAAACTACATATATGAGATGAAAAAATAAATTGAGTGGGATTTCTAGCAGATTATGCACCACAGATGAAAAGATTAATGAAGCCGAAGTCACAGCAATAGCAGCTACTCAAAATCAGACACACGGAGAAAAGAGCACTTAAAAAAATGAAATAACATTAGTGAACTGCAGAATAACATCAAGAGGCCTTATATATACGAAATATATAAACCACACACGTATATAATAATATACATGTACATTATATACATAGTGTAAGGTCTTTAAAGTATATACTTCTTTAAAGTAGAGGCCTTGAATGAGGGGGAGAGAGGTGGGGACAGAAAAAAATATCTGAAAAAAAAAAAAAAAAGACTGAAAAAACTGGTGAAAATTATGAAACTTAGATATTGACTCAAGCATAAGGAAAAAATGACACTAAAGCACTTCATAATGGAACTGCTCAAAACTGATGTGGAAAAAAAAATTTGAAAAGCATCCAGGGGAGTAAAGACACATGAGATACAGAGGACGGAGGTGAAGCCGGCAGTGATTTCTCACCAGAGACAGGGCAAGTGAAATGAGCAATCTTCCACCTAGAATTTTGTATCCAGCAAAAACATCTTTCTGAAACCAAGGCAGAATAAGGTAGTTTCCAGGTATATAAAAGCTTAAAAACTCAGCATTTGAAACCTACACAAGACAGGTTAAAGGAAATTCCTTTGGGCAGAAGGAAATAGTATCAGGTGGAAATCTGAGTCGGAACAAAGGGATAAAGTCTCTTTGACATCTTTTTTAAAAGTAATGTTTAAATAAAGTAGTAAAACGCAAGGGGGAGGTTGTTCCCCAGGTTTCACTCCGCTCAGCCAGGAGGAAGGCAGCTGTGTATTTACACTTGGATGTCTGAGCCCAGAACAATTCCTCCTAGCATTTATTGCCTCAGCGGGGGACACACTTGCACTCTAAAGCAAGCAGGGACTATAGCAGCAGGAGACTCCTAAGTGCTTATCTGGGGTTCACACATCAGACGTGTGGCCTTGAGAAGGATTATCAGTTCCCTGAAACTTCAGTCTACAGAGGCTTTGCCTGAACCTAACTCTAGCTAATTAACAGGTCAGCCTGACTTCTTCCACTTTAAGGTTTCTGGCATATGGAATGCAAGATGTATTAAAACAATTACCAGTCCTCCCCCAAGGAATCCTGTCTGCAGGCTGGTCCCGGTCCACCCCAGCCCCCTGCCGGGCCAGAGCCAGCGCTGTGACGCCTGTGTCTATATTTGGAAGCTCTGCGAATACATTAA